CACGCGGGTTCTCTGTTGCAGCAGAACACTCCACTGTGCAAAAGAGCTGCAATTTGGCGGGAACATGATTTAGCGATGCCGAAGCACACTCAAACAAAAAAACCCACAACTTTGGGTTGTGACACCTATGTATTTGAAACTGGACTTTTTATTATCCCTAATTCTGGTTGCTAGCCCTAGCTCCATCTCTGCCTTGGCCTTCCTAACAGCCACCCTGCAGCCCTCAGCAACGGAGATGTAACCCTCCTTGGTGATAGCCCCTTGCTTCCACTGTTTATACACCTCCTTTTTTGCCCCCAGGCATCCCTCCATGCCTTTGCCAAGCCATAGGCTTCTTAGCACTCCTGCCCTGCTTGGTGTGCATTGGGATTGACTCCCTTTGAGCTCGGAGGATAGTGTCCTGTGGAACAACCACGTGTCTTGGAGTCCCATCTCATTGAACCTCCGAGACTCCAATGCCTCTCCTACTAATATTCTTAGTTTACAGAAATCAGCCCTCCTGAAGTCAAGGATCTTTTCCTTGCCACTTGCTTTCACCAACCTGTTCTGGATACTAAATTCCAGCAGGCGATGATCACTGTTGCCCAGGTGGTAGACTACTCAGAGACCCCTCACCAGGTTATCGCCTGTGGCAAGGACCAAGTCCAGCAAGGCATTTGCCCTGGTGGGACTATGCACCTCCTGGGTTAGGTGGAGGTCCTGTATCCTGACTAGGAGCCTATGTGAGTGCTTGGACCTGGCTGATTTCTCCTCCCAGCAGATGTCTGGGTAGTTTTGGTCACCCATGACAACCACATCCCTTGACTTTACAGCTTTGGTGAGTTGACCTGAGAATTCCAGGTCCAGCTTGTCCCCCTGGTGAGGTGGTCTGTAGTAAACACCCACTATCAAGTCCCTTTCCCCACATCCCACTTGAATTCCTACCGAAAGCACTTCATTTTGCCCCTCCTCTGACCCCACCCTGATCAGAGGACTTATAGTGCTACACACCCCACATCTTTTCTCTGCTCTGTCTCACCTGTGCAGCCTGTATCCCTTTATGTCCACTGCTCAGTCATGGATAGAATCTTGCCAGGTTTCTGTGAGCCCGACTAGGTCTGGGTTTTTGCCAGCTAGCAGGAAGGCGAGTTCCTCCTGCTTATTCCCCATGCTTCAAGCATTTGTGTAGAGGCATTTGAGGCCTCCTGTAGGTTCCTGTGCTGCCCCCTTGTTCCTAAGCCTGCCCTGGCCCCTGTCACTTACCTGGGTACTACCTGTGTGCATCATCTGGCTTGACAACAAAATGTCCTCGTGTTCCTCTGTATCCCCATCCCCCAGCGAAACTTTTTTAAAGCTCACCATAGGAGATCAGCCAACCTGGAAGAAAAAACACACTTGCCATTTGGGGAGAGATGAAGCCCATCTTGGCCAAGCATGTCCTCTGTGCAGAAATGCGGGTCATGGTCCAAAAACCCAAGCCCTGCCTCCTAACACCAGCTCTGAAGCTGTCGATTAACCTTGCTGATGCATGTCTCATGGCACCCTCCATGTCTGTTCACTGGAAGGATACAAGAAAAAAGCACCTGTGCCCCTGTCTCCTTGAGCTTTGCCCCTAGAGTTTTGTAGTATCTCATGATGTGGCCTGGGTTGCCCCTGGCCGCGTCATTCATTCCCACGTGGATGAGGACCATGCGATAATGATCAGATGGTTGTATGAGCTATGGGATCATCTCTGTGATGTCCTAAATACGAGCTCCAGGCAGGCAACAAACCTCACATGCCATGGGGTCAAAGGAAGAATAAATGGAATAGGAAAGTATACATCATGGCGTGAAGGTGAGGATTAGACCTTACTCCCATCATGGTCACACCATAATCCCACCACAGTGAGTAGGTATATAAGTAGAAACAGCACAGACAAGAAAGACTGGAGCTCTCAGTCACTGGAAACACCTGCCAGAACAAAATAGCTGACAGTTGTATGGTTCCCCATGGCTACTTGTTCACCAAACCCTGGACCTAAAAGAAAAAATGAATACATAAATAAATAAATAAACCCATTACCATTGTACCTGGATGCCATCCCCAGAGGCATTCAAGAATGCCTGAAGGCACCACCAAGTTCTCTTTACTTTAAGTTTTGTTCTGGGAACAGACTCCCCTTCACTCTTCTGCCACAACTTGTTACTTTGGGTTCCTAAATGGGTGTCTGCCCCAGAGCTTCTCAGATCTGGTCTTGGTTCTCAAACACATGGAGGTGACGAGCCACTGCCTGAAGGACTATTTTTGCACAACTCCAACCTCCCCTTATGGTGCCCCATGACTCGCAGCTGTCATCTGCATCTTTTGCTCGCTCTGTTGGGGTCTCAGCCAACATGGCTTCTGCCCCTTTTATATAGGTAAACTGTCCACCTCAGACCCACTGTTTTAGGCCCAGCTTTGAAACACTCAATGTGTTCTGGGAGGCCTGTATATCTGTGCTCCCTGTGGCACCAGGCTCTCCAGCCCCCTGTAGCTTCACCCCTGTGGCTCCAGGCTCTCTGGCCCCCTATAGCTGTGCCCCGTGGGCACTAATGAGGCCCCCACCTCCCTACAGCCTCAGCCACAAACCACCAGACCAAACTGCAACATGTACTCTAACCTCTTGGGCTACAACAAAGAAAAATAATAGGGGCCTTTAGCCTGCTTAC